GTCACATCATTACAGCTTCCTCTCTCTGCCTAGCCAATCAGTACATGTCCTTTTCTCTGTCCGGGATCACATATAACTCTAAAATCATACAACTATAACTCGATTCCAGTTTATTTTCCTGTAAGACCTCGCTCTTTGCTGGACACCTGGCATCCCACCACTCCTGTCTGCTTTCTCCATTTCCTTGATTATTCCACTTCTCTTTGGGAATACCTTTCTATACTTTCTCATTCCACCACAAGAGAGGTGTCCTTGTCTTCTTTCCTCTGTCCACGAGTCCACTCACCACTTGGGCTTTACTTTCCCAGTCATCTGGTAACTCGTCCCTAAAACCCAGAACCTGTCTCAGCTCCTGGATAATATTCTTCTTTCTTCAGTTACTGCCATTTAGTACTTCCCTCTGCCTTCCCACACACCACCAGAATACCCTAACCCAGGGGTCGACAACCTGTGGCTCTTTAGTCCTTATACTGCGGCTCCGCGTGGTTTGGGAAAATAAATTAGAAGTATTTAGCTGAAGTGTATTTTATTTATGTTAGTTCTGTTTTAACTTGTAGTTCTAAATTGTTAGATTATTGTGATATTGAAATATAAAAATAAAATTATATTCTATTATTTCTTCATCGCTCAAAATAAGCGTCACACTCGCGGAAGCCGGTGTACCCGCCGAAACGCCATTAATTTATCGAGACTTTCAATCCCAGGTAGGCCAGTTATGGATCTTTGGATCCACATTATGTCAGCAGCTCCACCATGTTACAAACAAACACGCTCACGCCTCACAGACGACAGCTTACAGTCCTGTAAAGATGAAAGTGACTTCGTACAGCCCCGATCTGCAGACGCTGTGTGCAGAGGTTCAGGAGCAGAAGTCTCATTGTAAACATATCACGGCAGACCCGACGATGTTTGCATGAACACGCTTTTCAGCATCTCTTTATTGACCACTTTTCACACACGGTTGCTGACGCACACAGCCGGCTGTAGCTTTGCAGCTCACAGTTAAAGGTTGCAGACCCCTGGACTAACCCATGTCTACCCAACATCTGCTCATAAAGTCTGTCTACTAACATCTGCTCCAGTTACCAGTTACATCTGCCCTCTTTACCAGTCCCATAGTAAAGTCAAGTCCTACTCTCAGCTCCACACTCCTGCCTTCTTTCTCCCTGCCTCCGAGGTTTTCACCCTCTCCTCCTGTGTTTGGGGCAACAGCACAGTTTCCTTGGACAGCATGCTCGCCAACACACCGGAGGTTGTAGTTGTTAACCCGAGCTCTGACTGACCCAATACAGAAATCTCATTCTTGTTGATGTTTGATTTGGCAGAATCCCACTGCTGACACAACCCTCCCCTTTTGTTTGGGCTTAGGACTGGTGCTATATTTTACATGCTGCACCTTTAAAACACACGGTTATAACTCTGGATGGCAGAGCTTCCAAATGAATGTAAGAATATTTAGCTCTCATTACCGGTCATGTCATGAAATTCAGTAGTCCTGATATTGAGACAGGAAGTATCATAAGCTGCCTTTTAACCCTGACTAGGCCAAGAGACTCATAACATTATTTCAAAATTACCGTCAAATATTTCGGTCTAAAATTTCAAAAAGGTCTGCTGGAGTGAAACAAACATGTAAAGGAAATGACGTCATAATGATAAAACAGTGAAGCAGCCAAGTGCCACATCTTTAAGCCTTTTTAAAAGTGCCACAGATACAAATGCTGTTGTTTCACTGCTATGAGCCAACAAAGTGATGAAGAGAACTAGAAGAACGACCTGTACGAAGCTCAGTCCTGACAGTATTTCTAACTCATTCCTGCTCCTCTACAAAATACCTCAGAAAGATGTTTCCATCAGATCACAGAGGTTTCTGCTGATGGTGAATGCATGTGATGGATGAATAGCTTATGATAGAATTATAGTATGGTGACTGACCGTTACCATTTCAGAGTACTGTTGATCTTAGGTCAAATACTAGGCACTCATCGCTCAAGCGCAGCAGTTTGTGTTACTGACTGTGAAGCTGTCCGAGCTGACAGATAACAGGAACAGCGATGACAGACTGAACTTTTCACACCAGTCCAGCTTCAGAGAAAGCTCGTTCCGGCCCCTTGTTTCCACAGTCTCATTCCAAAGCTGGGTGAGGGTCGGGATGCAGACTGACTGGTAAATCAACAGCTTCGCAAATTCACATAAAAATTATGATATTAGTATTTATTCACAATTTTTAAGAAACCAGACACTGGATGGTTTACAACAGACAGGAACTCCATTTCTGTTTCTGTGACATTCTTGTCTTTTATTGTTTTTTGCAGAAGTTTCACTTCATCTTATTCAGTGGATGACTTATGAATAAAAATATTATTTTAGTGTTTGGCATTTAAAACTGATGTTCATTAAAGTTTTTCTATTTTTATTGTCATCTTTACTTCTGGATCCAAGTCAAATAGAAGAGGCTTTGGGTGTAGTGGAAGTTCAATGACGTCTTCACAGTTCACCACCGTGTTAGAGCACACAGGCCACAGTGTTTGTACTTTGCACTTCTTAGAATTAGCATGCGCAAATAATGAAACAGCTGGTACGACGGAGATTATCTGAGACTTTACTGATTCTTCTATGGATCCAGCACTGACCCTTGTGCCATGGCTTGAAGTAATTATCATTTTAGTTAATGACTGCTTATTGTTATGTTATTATTCTTATCTATTGAGCACGGAGTGTTTATTTTATTTGTATTTTTTATTTTTTTTGTCCTGTTAAAAATTAAATGATTTTGTGTGTTTTGAAAAACAACCACTGCGTGTTTTGACTTTATTATTGAAATACAATAATCATGGTTAATAAAACGCAAAAGCCTTTACAAATTATTTCACTACAACAAAGAATGAAATGATCATAATGAATATCACGTTTGTTTGAAACGTTATAATTAGCAGGTTATATTTAGACTCAAAATGTCTGATCGTAAAATTAAGGTTGCATCCAAAAAGTACACACTAATCAGAGGATGTTAAACTGTGACATCAATGGATGTTGATAAAGTTTTATTAACAAGATTTCCACTCAAACTTTTGTAGGCTGTAGCTCAGGAGCTGCACGCTCAGTTCCATAATTAGATCTTCTGATTGGATGGTGGGAAATGGAAGCTGGGGGTTCGATTCCTGGGTGCCTCGGTCTGCATGCTAAAGTATCTTTGGGAAAGATGCTGAACCCCAAGTTGTTGATGAGGCATGTTTTATAAAGTGCTTTGAGTGCTAAAGTAGAAACGGCCCATTTACCATTTACTCACTGATCAGTAACAAACTGTATAAAAAATAACTTGAGTGTTACAAGCTAACTAAATAACTCCAGTTATCATATAAATATATATGATGGTACGTTTTTTAAAAAAGTTTATTTAACCATTCATTTTACGTTTTATTATTGGTGATTATTATTTATTTTGATAATTATCTCCGGCTGTTACTCTTAAATCGAGTCATATCATGTGCAGTTGCCACCAATCAAATGAAAATATAAAACACTATACCTGTGTCCCACTAATGAGTGTTTTTGAAGGCCCCACACTGTGATTCCTGTTTCTTTCCTTCTGTGCCACAGAGTGTTGTTGTTACTGATAAACGGGGAACACTCACACTTCATTATCTTGGACACCTACACTGTAGTGTGTTTCCATTCATTTATGCAACAGTGTCTGAAATAATCAGCTGGCACAAACAAACCAAACAATAAATAAACACCAAACTTTGGACAGGCAGAACACTTCACCTTCTACAGCTTTTTGAATGCTGTCCATATGTATTTAGGATTGGTGTGTGCTTAATGATGATGTCATGTTCAATGGGTTTCAGCTGAGTTCTGAGCAGACAGACTGCTCCTGCATTTGTCTTTGTGCTTCCAGTGACACGGTCAGTGAATGGCAGCCATGCATAATCAATCCATCATTCAGTAAATTAAGTACTCTACTTCTTCCTAAGGGGGGATTGGTATTGCAGCAGTGTAACAGACACTGAAGAACCCGGATGTTTGATGGATCTACTCTTTCTTTTTCTACCACACATTCATCTTTTTCATCAGGGGACTTTGACACAGGTAGAAATTCTCTAACTCTAAGGGTTCAGTTTTGTAATAACACAAGACTAATTAGTGACAAATATGAGTTACTAAAGGTTGTATCTAGGAAAATCTTCATCTATCCCCGCTGTTAGGTGATATGTTTGTGTTCCTCAAGCTTGAGTCCTCTACCAGGAGGTCCTGCACTGTAAGAAAATACATACATATTCAATAATCATCCAAACATCCAGAAATCCTGGACTGAAAGACAGCACAGAGGCACTAATCATGGCAGCACAGGAACAAGCTCTGAGTACAAGATCCATAGAGGCTGGGGTCTATCACACCAGGCAAGACCCCAGGTGCAGGCTGTGTAAAGATGCTCCAGAGACAATCCAGCACATAACAGCAGGGTGCAAGATGCTAGCAGGCAAGGCATACATGGAGCGCCATAACCAAGTGGCCGGCATAGTATACAGGAACATCTGTGCCGAGTATAACCTGGAAGTCCTGAGGTCAAAATGGGAGACGCCCCCAAGGGTGGTGGAGAATG